CGCCCCCCCCCCCCCCCCGGGCCCGGCAGGGGGGCCCCCCCCGGCACAGGCAGGAGGCTCTCAGGGCCCCCCCCCCCCCCCCGTCCTCCGGCCAGAGGAGGGGCCACAGACCACTTGGACGGCGGAGGTGTGGGCTTCTGAGAAGCCACCATCGAATGCCAACAGCTCTTCTTGATGTTGAAGTGAAGACACGGCCCAGAGTTCCATTGGAGGGAGACCCCCCATCGCTCCGTGGGCACAACCCCCTGGGGCAGGCGCCTGGTGAGGGCCCACAGGTGCGTCGTTCAGAGGAGGCGCGGCCGAGAGCGAGGTGGGAGGAGAGAGGAGGAAGGAACGAGGGGTCCTCTGGGTGAGAAAAGGAGAAATCCCACGAGCGTAAGCACTTGTCACCGGGGACACCTGTGAGGGGCTGGCCAAGGGGACCGGGGGCTTGGCCCTCTGCCCACCGCTCCTTGAGCACTGGCATTGCTTGACGGGGGGCTATGGTGCTATGCACACCGGGAGCCCTGAGCAAATGGGGGCCCGGACAGCCCCACAGAAACTGACGATGTTTTTGGCAGAGTCCGGAGTATGGTGGCCACTGTCACGTGTCTCGCAGATTCTCAGAATCACCCCCCACCAACTGCCTGGAGTGCTGACTACTGATGGCTCCTGGCCCGTCCCTTTACGGCGCCTGGGTGGCCCCGTCGGTTAAGCGTCCGAGTCTTGATTTCAGGTCAGGTCGTGATCTCATGGTTCGTGAGTCTGAGCCCCACTTTAGGCTTTGGGCTGACGGCTCAGACCCTGCCTGGGATTCTCCCTCTCTCTCTGCCCCTCCCCCAACTCACGGGCACGCGCGCTCTCTCGCGCTTTCTTTCAAAAGTAAGTAAATAAATAGTTTTAAAAAGAGAGCGCCAGGCTCCCCGAGGGGACAGCCTGCATCTGGTGACTGGTCGCAGCTGGCGTCGAAAAGCTCGGCCCCCTTGCCCCGACTCAGGACAACCCCGACGGCCACGTCAGCCCCAGAGCTGCCGGGAGCCTGGCTGAGTCTTGGCTGTGACAGTCACGGCCCCTTTTCTCTCTGCCTGAGCCGACTCGCACAAGATGCTGACGGCGAGAGCTCTACCGTAAACCTCTCGGAAGCTCAAGACCCAACCTAGGAGAGAATGTGGAGCCATAGAGGAGTCCAGGGTGTAGATCAAACTACTTCTGATATTTGCTATTCGGACCAGTGATTTCTCTGTTCTTGGGTGCTGGTCTGCCCCAGCCACCTCTATTCTCCTGGCCACCCTGGCCGGGGCAGTCTGGGGGCTGCCGTAGACCAAAAATAAAAAGGGTGCCCTCTGGTTGGCAACAGAAAGTAACTGGGCATTAAAGGAAAGTTTCGAAGACCTATCTGTGCCCAACTGAGACTTTCTAGGGGGAGTGACTCCAAAGAGCAGAACGAACATCGAACATTCTTGGCTTGGGTACAGTCGCTTGTGAACTATTTTACTTTACAGAATCTCTGGAACATTTTTGGAACAGGGAAACCATCTGATTGGCTTTTAATTTCCACAGCAAAAAGGTGACCATTCACTGCACCCCGGCAGAGCAAACCCGCACAATCATCGGCAGTTTTACTAAACCATCCAGCGGGAATAATTTCATCCACACGTATAGGGCTATTCCCCTGTTTACTAATTACTATTACTATTTGCCAACTGGCATTCTGTTATTCATCAAAGCAGTGGGGAATCCTAAACCTTCTTAAGAAAAAAAAGAAGGGGGAGGAGATATTGTTTCATGGAACTGGAAAGCCTAAGAGAGGTCTTCAGGTATGGTTTGATCCAGGGCCTTAAATCAAATCATCAAACCCTGTTTGTTTTCTCTCTGAGATTCCACACTCAGGCAGTCTTTCCTCTTACATGGCAAGTTAGCTGTAACTCAGTTCAGGTGCTGAGTGGAGAGTTAATTTAAACAAAAATTTTTTTAGTGTTTATTTACTTTTGAGACAGAGACAGATCATGAGCAGGAGAGGGGCAGAGAGATGGAGACACAGAATGGGAAACAGGCTCCAGGCTCCGAGCTGTCAGCACAGAGCCCGACGTGGGGCTCAAACTCAAAAACCATGAGATCACGACCTGAGCCGAAGCCAGAGGCTTAACTGACTGAGCCACCCGCACAAGAACTCAGTAGGATAAACTGACACACAACACCCTTTAAAAATAATCCATCATCTCATTTAATTCATGCAAAGATCTTGTTAGAAAGGCAGTTGTAGATCTTAGCTTAGTCTGCAGATAAGGGAAGAGAGACTCGGGGAATTTGGAAGCTCACATACAGCGAAATGGGTTGTCAGTTGCCGAATGAATCCTGGTGGTGGGAGAAGTGAAGCCTTCGGAGCCCTCGGCAGACCTAGCCGGAGAGGGATACGGTGACGATTCTGGAACGGCCATGCCTCCTGGCACTCTAGTTCCTAGAGTGCAAAGTCTTGAAGCTTCCTCCAGCACGGAGCCTGGGTTGGTTTGGCTGAGGCCGCATGAGCCACGGAGGAAGCTCTCCAAACAGCTCGAATTTCTTTGGCCGGAAGCAGTATGAAAACTGGCCACAGGTGACTTGAGCGTCCGACAGTCATTATCTGCTGTAACAGGGACTCGAGACAGGCGGTCTTGGGTTGGTTTATACAGTGACTCGGCCGGCATCTAGTCCACCTGGACGGCCCCTCTCTCCCCTCTTCATGCCTTCCTTCTTTAGAGAGAGAGAGAGAGAGAGAGAGGCAGAGGGAGGGAGGGAGAGAATCTTAAGCAGCGGCCATGCTCAGTGCAGAGTCTGACCTGGGGCCTCTAACCCACGACCCTGGGATCACGACCTGAGCTGAAACCAGGGGTCGGATGCTCAACTGGCTGAGCCTTGGGGGTGCGCCCCCCTCCCAGGCTCTCTCTATCTGAAGTCTCTGTCATCTTTAACTTGTGGCTTTCATCTTGTGATCCGAGACGGCGGTGCCAACCCCTCCCAGCCAGCTGTAAAGGGGAAGGTACTGGAAACATTCCACTTTCCCTTAAAGGCATGACTCAGAAGTTCAGATGTGACTTCTGCTCATTTCCTATTGGTTCAGCTGAATCACAAGTCCAACCCCAGGTGTAAAGGATGCTGAGTAATGGAGGCTTTATTCTGGACAGTTCTGTTACTATGGGAAGAAGAAGGAAATGGATATATATTTTTTTTAACATTTTCTTTTTAATGTTTATTTTTGAGAGAGAGAGAGTGCAGGCAGGGGAGGGGCAGAGAGAGAGGGAGACACAGAATCTGAAACAGGCTCCAGGCTCCAAGCTGTCAGCACAGAGCCCGACACGGGGCTCAACTCATGTGCCGTGAGATCATGACCTGAGCCGAGGTTGGATGCCCAACCGACGGAGCCACCCAGGCGCCCCAGAAGGAAATGGATATTAAAGAACAAGGAGCAGTCTCTGCCGTGGAATGGAATTATTAGAGGAATAATCTAGGCTCCATGAAAATTTACCCGCTGGGGCTGGGGAGAGAAGCAGCCCCTCCCACTGGATGACTTCCCAGTCCGGAGGCAAACTTGGGATTTGATTAGAAGAACAGACTGGGGAGAATGGTGGCTCATAGGTATGGCAGGCCTCTTAAATATACCCATGTCCTAATCCCCAGGACCCACGAAAGTTAGCTCAGAGGATGAGATTTAGAGCTTCAGAGCTGTTGAGACGTAGGTGAGACTTTGGGTCCGATGGTGGATTTAATGGGCTTAGGGGCCTTGGGAGGGGATGGATGTCCCGTGTGTGGGGGATTCGTGTGAATCTTTGAGGGCCGGGGGTTGGCCTGTGACAGGCTGCATAATGGCCTCTAACTGTGTCTGAATCCTCATCTCCCAAACGGTGAACGTCAGTTTCTATAACAAAAGGGGCTTTGCAGACATGAAGAAGTTAGGGAGCGTATCCGGGTTATCCAGGCTGGCCTGATGTCGTCGCACCCGTAACCATCAGAGGGATACAGAGGAGTCAGAATCTGAGGAGGAAGCGAAGGAAGCCAAACTGAAGATAGAACAGGGGAGAACAGGGGCGCCTGGGGGGCTCAGTCGGTTAAGCATCTGACTTTGGTTCAGGTCATGATCTCGCGGTTCGTGGGTTCGAGCCCCGCGTCGGGCTCTGTGCTGACAGCTCAGAGCCTGGAGCCTGCTTCAGATTCTGTGTCTCCTTCTCTCTCTGACCCTCCCCTGCTCATGCTGTCTCTCTCTCTCTCTCTCAGAAATAAATAAAACATAAAAAAAAAAAAAGAACAGGGGAGAACACACAAACACAGTACAAGGAACCCAGGCAGCCACCAAGAAGCGACCGAGAGAATTTCACGCAGCCGACTCACCCTCATCTCCTTCAGAAGGGGCTGCACGGCCCTTGACTTTAGCCCAGTGGCGCTCGTTTCGGACTTCCGACCTCCGCAACTGGAAGAGGATGACCTTTGTGTTGTTTGAAGCCACTAAGTTTGGGGTAATTTGTTACAGCGGCAAGAAGAAACTAATACAGTAGGCAGCCAGCAGGGGCCGCCGTGGCGTGGCCGGGGAGCTACCAGTCATCGGATGGCCCCAGGCTGCGGCACAGGGAAGGGAGCGACAGGTGATGGACAGAATCCGGCGGCGAACAGGCGCCAGTCCTTGAAGCCCCAACCCCATCATGTAAGTAGGGCTCGCTGTGCTCCAGGCACCGCGAAAGACTGAAAGACAAGTGTCCAATGCGATCTTCGCAGCTCAGTAGGAGGTAGCTATTTGGATGACATGCCTGAAGTCACGTAGTTCCCAAGTGATGGAGAGAAGATCTGAAGGGAGATCTGTCTGACGCCGACGTCCGACCGTATCCGCTTGCATCACACAGCCTCCCACATTCACAGAGGTATTTGCTAGGTATGGGGGCTGGAGGAGGAGTCAGCAGACTAAACAATCTGTTCATAATAAACAGCTGTTGTTTATCGAGAAACTTCTCTGTGTCAGACACTTGGGATGACTGTTTGCATTACATGTAGGTTTTCTGCAAATTCTTATTGTTTGTTCCATTTTATAGAGGTGGAAACCAAAGCGTGGAGCAAGTAATTGTCTTACCGAGAATCACACACAGCTAGTGGGGTGCACGGGCGGCTCAGGTGGTCGTGTCCGACTTCGGCTCAGGTCATGATCTCGCGGTTCACAAGTTCAGACCCCGCGTTGGGCTCTGTGCTGACAGCTCAGAGCCTGGAACCTGCTTTGGATTCTGTGTCTCTGTCACTCTCTGCCCCTCCCCCACTTGGACTCTGTCTCTCTCTCTCTCTCAAAAATAAATAAACATTAAGAAAATAAAAATAAATCGCTCAGCTAGTAAACGACAAGGTTAGAATTTTTTTTCTTTTTAGCAAGTGTGTGAAAGCAGGGGAGAGGGGCAGAGGGAGAGACAGAGAATCTAAAGCAGGCTCCGTGCTCAGTGCAGAGCCTGATGCGGGGCTCCATCCCATGATCCTGGGATCATGACCTGAGCCTAAATCAAGAGCCAGATGCTTAACTGATGGAGCCACCCAGGCGGCCCCAACAATGTTAGGATTTGAGCCCAGGTTGACCTGACTACAAAGTCATTGTTCTGCTTGTAGTGCCAGGGAAATTCATGACATGGTTGAAAGTCACCAAATTTTGAGTCCGTTGAGGTCATAAACTTTGTCTTATCCAGCACTGGGTGGGGCAAGTCAGTTTGTTGATTTAATCTGTATGATAACCTTCCCCGCCCTCCCCCCACCCCCTGTAGTTTGTAAAGGTTCTTAAAATAGGGAAAAATATAAAGAGCAATCTAATAACTCCCCGCAAGGAATATTTTACTATATTTTCTTCAGATTCTTTTTTTTTTAATAAAAGAAACAAAATATGACAGATAAAGTTGAAGAATGTTTTGCTCTACTTTTTTCTTTTCCTGTGCTTTCCCCCTATTATAAAGAATACTGAAATGAACGTCTACATAGGCAGAGAAGTGTTTCCTGCAAATTATGTGCCTAAATTATACCATGGAAATATTGCTGCTGGGTAGAAAGGCATTTCAGTTTCAACTCTTCTAGATGCTGCCAAATAGCTATCAAAAAGCCTTCCATTCATCGTCCTTTTTTTTCTTTCCTTAACAGTCAAAAGTTTAACCAAAGCTTTATATATCTTGATTTAAAGAGTCAAATAAAAATAAAAATTCTGCAAGAATTTTTAGGAGAAATAGCATTCTATTTCCAAGTTGTCTCTTTCAAATGTCCTGAGTTCTTTCTGTGACGTTCACCTCCATATCTCTAAATCATGTACTTGCCATGATACTTGAATATCAGCTTTAAATTGTCATGGAAGATGAGGATTTAACCTCCAATTGTTCTCCATGCTCCACCCCACCCCAGGTTCTCCCAATCTGGAGAGCATAACTTCAGTTAGATCATATAAAGGTATATATCAGTTAGATATATAAAGATCATTTATATATATATATATATATATATATATATATATATATATATAAAACACTGCTTGAAATAAACTATGCTTGTATTTTCTTTCTTACACAGCTTTCTTTTTTTCCTGGAGTTGGTTTGTCTTAGGTTTCTGTTCTTTTTGTTTAGTTTTTGATGTACATTTACTACAGTTAACCTCAGACTCTCAGCCGATTATCTAGCTATCCCATCAAGATGTTCAGATGCATCTCACATTCCCTCAACTTCAACTTCTTGGTGACACATCCCCTGAAGCCCTTAGGCTTGCTCCAATCTCCCCTGACTTGGTGCATATCTGGGGGCCTGGGAATTCTCTTATTTCCCTCATCCTTGTTGGCTCTTCTGTTTTCTCTGTGCCAGGCCCTCATCTCTCTTGGTTTCCTCCATTGTTACGGTGACACACATCCTCCAGGAATTTCTGAAAAGGGTAAGTAGAAGACACTTTTTTTCTTATTTTTTTAAAGAACTTGCATGTCTGAAAATGTCTTTAGTATCTCATACCTGGTCAATAGTCTGGCTGGGTATAGACTTTTAGGTGGGAAAGAACTTTATGTTTTTCCTCCTCTTACCCAATTCCATATATAGCCAGTGCTGCCCCTTCGTGTGCCTTGAGGATTCTCTGGTTCAGCTGGATGAGTTTTCAGCTTGTTCAGGGCTCAGCTTTGATGGGTCTGCCACATCCCTTCTCCCAAGACCCTCTGTAGGGTTGACTTGCTGGGTTGTGGTCTCAGAGGTCTGGGCAGACGCCGTACGAAGACTTTCAGGGAAGCAGCGTTCAACTGCACGTGAGGAGGACCTTTCTCAGTCAGAGCTCTGAAGGGTCTTCTCAGAAGGAGGGAGTCTCTCATCAAGGGACACGTGTAAGCAGAGTCTAGAAGACCATCTTGTAGAAGTGTCCGTGAAGGACTCCCCGACTTTCTGAAGGACCCTCCAGGCCTCTTCCAGCCAGAGTCTGCAAGTCTCTGAATTAAAAACCTCAACATTCCCAGTCGGGGTCCTTTCCAGGGGAGAAATACTCCATGAAACCCAGGGACTGAATTCTGGGAGGTGGAGTTGAAGGCTCCAACAATCTGCCTGTGAGAAGGGCCCACCAAGGCTAGGAATAGCGCCCATCCTTAGGGGGAGGCATTGGCCTTCAGCCTTACTGAGAGCACTGAACAGACAGCTCTGGGTCACTTCTCCCCAGATCCGTCCATTAGAGGCTGGCTCTTCCGGGCAGCTGATTTGTGTAAGGATCGACTCACGAAAGTCCGCGTTGCCATCATCATATGCAAAGTACAGTTGCAAGAGGAACTCGCTCCTTCCAAGTGTTCCTTAGGGCAAGTAGATAAATTGCTAAGTTTGGTAAAATTGGTGAGATAATTGAGTTTCCGAAAATTGCATTTTTTTTCTTTCTTGCTGGCAGATCGGCCTGCTCCTGAGGGACGTCATCCTGGGAAAGACTAGCAGAGGCGTTTCTCTTTACCCTTTCAGAGGTCTCCCTGGGTCCTTGGCTTCTTCATCCGCAAAGGGAGAGGAAGGCCAGTTCCGTGATTTCGTAACCACCTTCACATTTAGATACGTGCTCTCACCACCTTATGAGGAGTGAAGTGTGAGGATTCAGGTTGCTTCCTGCTCGGTTTTCCCAGCCCGGGCTTCTCTCTTGAGCGCTTGTGCGTCCCAGCAGCCCCGGGACCTGCCTTCGAGTCTGTCACCCAGACTCTGGGCTTCTGTCTCCCATCAGGCTTCCTAGAAGCAGAGCCTGAGACAGGGATTTGGGTGTCTGCGGTTGATTGAGGAAGGCTCTCTGAAGACCCCTGGAAGGGAAGCGCGGAGCTGGGCCAGGCAGGGGAAGGACGTGAGCAAGATCGAATAGGACTTCAGTCCATTCCACGGAGCCAGGGGCGTAAACGGCTCCGTGGGGTAGGTCCCCGCACCCCCCGTTGAAGCAAAGCACTGGCCTTTGGGACCTGTGTCAGTAGCCATTTGCACTGGGCTGCCTCACAGAGAGGGACGCAATCGGATCTGAGTTATTCTGTGATGCTGCGGAGAAGGGGCAGCTGGGAGCCCTGGCTCAGGAAAGGGGGGCTGAGGCCGGGCCCTGAAAGCACCCACGGCAACACCCAAAACTGAGTTCTCCTCCCCTTCGGGCTGAACTTGCCCACGCGCCCGCCCCTGGCTCCCCTCCTTTCCCTGAAGGTGTTCCTCGCCAAGGAGCTCCCTTCAGCAGAGGGAACTCTCCAGAAGGGAAACTCCAGCTGCTGTGGAAGAAGAGGCCTTGGTCTTGCAGGGGATGTCGGTGGTGAGCCACCACATCCCTCTCCTCCAGGGAGAGATCGCTGGCATCTTACAGAGGAGAAAAACTGAGTTCAGGGAGGCTGAAGAACATGGGCCCCCTGGGTACTAAACACACAGCCGTGACAGGCACCGAAGAGTAAAATGTCGGAGTCATTCGCGGCGTGGTAGAAAACGCGCGATAAAGTTAAAAGCCCTGTTCGCAGCGCTTGTCAGTTTCAAGTGAGGTGACGTCACCGAGCTCAGAGTTGGGAAGAGCAGAGCATCAGGGAATGGTGTTCCCACCATAGATATAAATAATCCCAGGAGCGCACGTTACAGCAGTCGGAAGTGGTACAGTTTGAATATTTTTTACCTTTGTTTTAATATAACTTATCTAATTACAGGTGTATGTCACTTAATTTTTAATTAAGTGTGTTTACCAAGCGGCGCACGCTTCCTTTACATTTAACCGTCAGCCTTGCGAGTTGGTCTGAACCGGCTCCCACGTGCCCCTGGACGGTTTCAACGTCACAGGGAAGCAGTCCTCCCGAAGCCCAGTTCTGATCGCATGTCTCCCTCACTCAGCTACCGTCAGTGGCTCCCGAGTGCCCCAGGAGGAAGTCCAGAATCCACTTACTTTGCCAACCTCACGTGCACACCTTTGTCTCCCGGCCCGATTCTTCCCCTGCGGGCCGGTGACCCAAATGAGCTCCTTCATTCC